CCGTTAGTGCATGCGCCATGCTACGTCATTGCTCTATCACGTACGCACAGTCGCTTCGCGCAATATAAGGTTTGCTAGCTGTGGGACGAGTGGGAAACGTACTTTGTGGACGCGCCTCGTACTTTTAAATGTGCTTGTATTACATCCTTTGGCACCATAGACATGATCCAAATCAGTCTTTGGAATCACTTTTTCACATTGACTCTATCTGACTTCCAGTTATATATGCTTGTAATATGTGGCGGAATAAGAAGGAAACAGTCTAATGTAATAATGCGTAGGCATGCGACTATAATATTTATATAACTCTGTGAAACAGGGTCTTTCTTCAAAAAATTACTCAACCAAGAAGTTTTCTGCTATGGAACTGTCTAAAAAGAAATTTGAAAAAATACAGTTTAATTACCAATGGTTTTCTGGACGTGTATAGAATAATATAACAACTGTAATAACATTAATTAAAATTACAAGCTCTCCAAGATAAAGTCCAAGTTCACTATTTAATTATGTCACCAAGTGGCTCAATAACTATACAATTAACACTAAGCATACACAGTCACTTACTTTTCATTTTTATGTGTATGCACGCGCACACAAATACACAATTTTATTCCATTTAAAAGAAAAATTATGAAACACATTAATACTAAATATAGTTCGATAAAATATAATTTTAATTTTGTTATATATAACTGGAAACCTAGACGAGTCTAATGTCTCTATTTTGGGCAGTATACATAATGCAAACCAATCTTTACAGGTTATAGAGACAAGGTATGAAGGTGGAACCAAACTCAGATACAAAGGAAAAAAATATGTTACTGTGGAACAACACACAAAATGTAAATGTGACTGCAAAGTCAAAGAAGAGGTAAGTACAGAGTGTAATATCTTTATCTTCTAAACCTCCTTATACCAGTACAAATTTTTTAATTTTATTATATTTACCCACTGTTGATGTAGTTTGTTTCCTGTTTATTGTAATAACTACGGTTCGGACGTTCATGACATGTCATATTTTTATTGGCGCTTCTAATTTCATTCTAAACTGAAATTAAACACTAACTGGGTTATCCTAATCACAATTATGCTGTTTTTATTTTGCATATGCATATGTAATGATTCAGGGAAAAAATGTATGAGACACTTTCTTTCCAGCATTGCAATAAGTTACAACAGTACGAAAAAAGCGAATGTAGCTGCACCTGTGTTAATGTGGATGAGGAACAGAAATGTATAGCAGAAAATGACACCAAACTGTGGAATCCACAGGAATGCTTATGTGGCTGTAGGTACACCAAAGAATGCAGTACTGGATTTTATTTTGACCAGAAAACTTGCAAGTAAGTACTCTCACTTTTAGCTTTGATTCTGAAAGGCAAAACACTCTTGTGGGGCAATAAATGATTCATTAAACATAAAACAGGTTGCCAGTTTTTTTAACAAGTCACACATATACTTCTGCTGTAAGATTCTGAGTTACTGTGTGGAACTTAAACAACAAATCTGTATAAAACAAAAGGAGAGGAAGTTTTGTTAACGCTGCAGTCATGTATTATACTGATATAGAACTGTTCTGTTTCTTACAGCTGCTCGCCAGTTCCTATAGTGAGGCGCCGAATCAGTAATAGCGAGTCTGCAGCACATAACAGATGGGAAGAAAATTCACATCTCAGCTATGAAGTGATACCACGATCAGTAGTACCAATGAATAAAGTTGCAGAAAAGGATGACGGAAAGTAATAACTACTGAACTATTAATATATTAATTCAAAAGAGAAACCAGTAAAACATGAAGAACACGGATACCTTTACCTTCAAAGTATGGCATTTATGTCTGATTTATTCTCAACATAAATTTCTAATTGTATAAATAGGAGTGCATTTTGGACAAAAAGCCTGTCCAATGCTCCACACTCGGATTTCATATATTTTATAGATACTTTTGAACTTCATAATCTGGTTGTATATTATACTAGCAGCCTTCATTATATTTTAATTATGGCAATTTGTCATGTAAATTAAACATATCTAATAACAGACGCTTATCCAGTTGTTAATGTAATTTTTAAATTTCCAAAAATCTATCTTTATGCTAGTTTGAAAAGCCAACTACTAACTAACACTATTCTCAGCTAGTCAAGAAATTCCCCACCTTTCATGGGACCCGAAGATCCATCAATGAGCATAATCGTGAGCCATTTAAATTCAGTTCACATTTTCACAACCTATTTCCCCAAGACCCAATTTAATATCATCCTCTCATCTCCATAATCTTCCAAGTGGCTGCTTTTCAAGTTTCCCTATTAACCTTTATCATCCATGTGTCACTGCTTACACATGATCCAGCTGGGGTTAAAGTCTAATAGGCAGCCCTGTAGTATGGAGGTTCAAATCCTCATTACCAGACAATAATATAACATATATACATTTTGTCTTCTTCACCTTCATCCGAGCTAAAACTAACAAGCTTGGAAAGCATATTCCATATCGAAATACATATCTCTCCTCGTGCATTCTTTGCAATGTGCATTTAGAGGTATTAAATTTGCCTTGTTTGATGGCTCCCACTCTGGCCACCGGATTGCATCACCTCAATGTCTACCTTACAACTTTCACCTGTCATTACCACCACTTGTAGGATATTCAAAATATATTTTTAAGGTTGTGCAGAATAGCATAACCTCCATATCAAATTTCATCCAAATCCATCCAGTGGTTCTCAAGCCAAATCAAAAGTATAGATGGACAGACACAACCAGACCACAATGCATTCTCTCTTTACACTTCATGCGAAGAACACACAATAAATGGGAACAGTTACAGTGATTAAACTGGACGATTTATTGCTTTTGAAGTAAAAATATTAGGGCAACCATCCCTGGACAAGGGAGCAATATATATGGATTTATCAATGTTGATTTTCTGGGTAGTAACGCTGTATGGAATTACAGCTAGTTAATGTTTAAGGAGAATGTTGACATCTTCACTGTAGTGAGAACTTTAAATCTCGTAACGTACAGATTCAAAAATCCCAACATATCCATAAGTTCCAAGTTTATAAAATACACACCTGTAACTCACTGTTTGCTGCTGCTCACACACTCACTTTTCTCGTCTGCAAGGTGACTCCGAAGCTGTTTAATATAATTCACAACATTTATATTATTTAAAAGTAGACTTCCATGAAGTTCAGACAACTTTGATAAGTTTGAATTTAGTTTTTCTGAAATAATAAAAGTAATAAGATATAATTAATTTAAGATATGAAACAGTACCTGAATGTGTGTGTAAAAGTAGGCATAAGTCATATTACACAAATTTCTTTAAACATGTTTATTTTATGATCCCCATTACTGTACTACCAAGAAAGAACCATGGGTTCCGCAATACACACTTTCTAAACTAAAACATCCACATGAAAATGAGATTTAAATATTAAATTCTGTTGCATAAATAGGCAATCTCTATGCTAAAATGCAGTGCTTATAAAATTTCTCATGTAAGCAAAAACAGCATTAAATAACTCACTAATGGCTGATTTCATTTAAGGAAACTATTGAATGAAAAATGGACTTGTTTATAATAGCACAATAGTAAAATTTGTAATATGTTGGCATGAAGTTTCAGTATGATGTCCACCTTCATAATCTCGTGGCCCGCAAGCCAATAAGCAAATGTAAAAATTGCCCTTGGTCTGCAAAAGGTTGAGAATCCCTGGTTTAAATGTAATAAAAATATAGAAAATCTAGTTTGTCAATAAATTACATGTCCTTACTGCCCAAATGTATATTTTGTTAGTATATTCTTTCAGTCTATCTTCATACACTACTTGTAAGGTGTCCATTTTGTACACTCATATCTAAATTTTCCAAAACACAGTAAATAAGTGTGGCAGGAGAGGCAATCTGAGCCAGTAGAACTTTGATTATTTGGACTTTGATGACGTCTCTGTTAACTGAGCAGGGTGGCTGGCAAAATGGTGCTTTTGTTAAGATGTAAGAAAAAGCAAAATCATGCATGTATATAATGTATTTTGAACATACTCTGTACATATACATACTAATGTACTGTATTTTTAATAAAAATATATTTTAAAATTACTCTGCATGTACTTAATATAGCAATTACTGTATGCAGTAAATGCACCCTAAACCCCAGTTCAGAAGAAAAGCGCAAGAATTGAATAGCTATTATCTGACAGCTGCTGTCCCATTCAGCTCAAATAACTCAGGTCCCACCCTTTGCAGCAGAAACATTTATCTGCTTGCAGAGTTGCCTTAAAACTAGACGTGAAATGAAGTCAGCAACATTTTTATACAGAAAGCATTTCTTTACAACACACTGATTTAAAAATACCTAACCTTTAACATGTGCTGTATAAATTTTCATAAATGTATATGAAAAGCAACTAATTTATAAAAGTCCCAGAAAGTGGAAATTTATTAAGCAAGTACGTCTTTATGTATAAAAGTCATAAATCATGCAACCCTTTCGACAGTACACTGCAGGAATAACATAATACATTACAAACATATTACTGACATAACCTTACCAACACTTTTTGTTACTTCAAAGATATAATGTTCCTTCGAAACATGTATCTTCTTATTTGGAGGAGAACTACTCATTGTAAGGTTAAATATGCTTAATCACAACCTATTCTCGAAGAATAATTCGATCTATAAGGTTTAACACACCTATATCACTGAAGACACAATGTACTTTTTTCTTAAAATTCGTATATCAATATGACAAATTCTCTCTTCCAAGTGGCCTTGCCTCTCATCAGCCCAAGCAAAAAAACAATCAGCGTCACGATGCTGCCAACGTTACACAAGTATATAAACAGAATCGTGTTTCTGGTAAGTCTATACTTAAACGCATAAATATTGTATACTGATCACATTGAGTGATTCCGCAGATAAGAAGAATTAATATATACTGACCTCATGGGCAATATAAAACTATGGTACAAGAAAATAAAATCTTAATACCAATGACGAGTGAAGTTAGCGTACACAAGTTTGTTTCGCTTCCAAAGCACTCAAATGGAAAAAGATATTATGATGAACTTATCGCTGCGTGATCAGGGCTATTTATTGTATGTGTAATGAGCGATATTATAAGATATATTAAAAAAATAATTTTAAAAACTTTGAACTTTTTACAATTTTTAAAAAAAATTGAAAAAGTTTTCTCCTCTCTTCTCTTCTCTGAAATTTTTGGAAAATAACAGAAAAACTCGGAAATAAACCTACTTCAGTGCCATTTCGACCACCACGAATCTAGTTTGAAAGAAACCGCCATTGATTTCAATTTATTATCGTGTTCACAAGACCCAGCACCAATCCTGAGTTAGATGAATCCAATCCAGCTCACTTCCCCGCAATGTTTTCGTAAGGTCCATTTTAATATGCTATTTATTATTACGCTTAGTAATTTCTTCTCTTTTGGTTTTACAACATAAATTTTTACTAATTCCTCATCTGTTCCAAATGCGCTACATCTAACCCTCCTCGATTTTCTCCTGCCTCCTGTCATTTCATGTTTTAAT